ATTTTCCAAAGTTCATACTCACTCTGCAATAAGCTCAGATCAACTATGTTTTTGTACATAGCCAAGTTTTCTAGATCCAGTGATTTGTCACAGCAAACAGACGGTAATAAGCAGTATAGGCCGGATAGAATATTTTTGTGGTCCACAAATCTACTTTTCAGTTGGCCAATGAAATCGTCCAAAACTGGAACAGCTACAGCTATACGAAAATATTGTTTTGGATCGTTTGCTTGGAAATTGCTGCGATATCTTTGAACGGATGTCAATCGTGGTATACGAATCTCTTCATGAACCTCGTCTAATATTGATTTTGCTGTTTTGAAAATTATTGAGAATTGGGCCTCAATGTTGGTTCGAAAATTTTCAAAGATTTGAACAACATTCTCGATATGATCTATACTTGACACTAAATCACAAAGAGGAGACTGTAGGATTTTGCAGAGTGTAATTGTGTAGGAGAACACGCTTTCCAGAAAACAGAGACTTATAACAAATTCATATCTCCATCAATACTCAGATCTTCCAAAGTCTCCACAATAGCCGAAAATATTTCTTTAAATCGAAAAAGGCCATCATGATTTTCCATCCATCTTGTTTCACACATATCTGTCAATGTTTTCCACCTTGTTTCAGGAAAACGCGTTTTTATGTATTCTTGTAATTTCGTCGTTCTTCTGGGTGATGCTTTCAAAAATGTTGCAGCAGTTCCTATGCAGTTTCGGACGGCTGGGAGATTACATGAATGGCATAAAGCTAAGTTTAAAGAATGCGAACAACAATGAACATAGAGAGCTTCTGGGTATGTTTTTCTGATAACTGATTGAACTCCTTTGAATGATCCTTTGAATATCGTATCATCATCAATATGATGTTTTACAATTTTTCTGTCCTTTGTTACTTGGCCGGTGCTCACGAATATATTATATATTTTATGTACAGTTCCAGGGTGTACAGCTACCTCTAGCGGGTGTCTTCTATTAAATTCAGCGGCCNTTTCATTCCATCTCTTTAGGGATTGAGCATGGGTGTGACGTTTGGCTAGTTCCGTAATTGTCGAAGTCATCAGGCCGTAGGTGCCACTAGGTCCTAAAATTCTTAGTCTAGCCGCTTCCTTGACATAAGAGTCGGCAATGCGATTACCTTTACTCCTGTCATGCCCTTTAATCCACCTCAGGATAATGTTATTATCTAACTAGGCTTTGGCTAAATCTTGGTGGCACTCTAGCACTAGCGCTGAGGTAACACGCTGTCTGTTAATGATAGGGCTGACAGGGCTTGTCTGCTATCAGTGCAGATTGTTATGTTTTTGCCAGAAATTTCTTTCCTGGTTATTTCTTTTGTGGCGATTGAGATACCAGCCAGTTCTGTTTTTCCCATTCCCCTTTATTAATCCTTAGGCTTAGCGATCTGGAGTATGCTTCACATCCTGAGCCTTCTTTGGATTTTGAGCCGTCTGTATATATGCGTATTGCATTTGTAGCATCTGACTATGTGCTCTGTTTTATTTGTATTTTGTACGGTTTATTAAACACAAACCTGGGTTCAATTGCATCACTGGTTGCCTGCAGCAGAGATTGTGCGCTTCTCGACATAGGCTCAGCCTCAATTGACCAATTCCTACTTCGAGGTTTACACCAGGCGTTCGCAATCGTAACATGGCCAATAACGTAACCTCCTTAACGTACAGGCCCAGAGAAGTCAGAACAGTAATTAACTCCATTGCCGCGGTTGGTGTTATTCTCATGGCTCCTGTGATGTTTAAACAAGCCAATCGCAATCCTCTCACAGAGGAAATTCTTGTAGATGCTTCCAGTCCAGCAACATAATCTCGCTGAAACCAAACTAATATATTACCTACCCCTTGTCAGCGTGGGACAGATCGAACCACGACTTGTTGAATCCAACGGGAAAGTAGTTGTTGTACTGTACAGGGATATACGGTGAGAAAGGTGAATATTTCGAAAGCTTCATCTTCTTGATACGTACGTATCTATCCTCGAAACAATCATTAAATTGACTTTGATTTATATGATGCTTCTTCTGCGCTGGGGCAGAAGGTCAATCAAGTCTTGGTTGAATCTGTCCTGCACAGACGTGAGGTGATACTCCAAATGTGCACTGTGAGTGATCGGGCGGTTGATTTCATCATTTCCCAGATCCTACAGTGTACGAGAAAATGGGTCACACTGTATATGTGGAGTGTCTCTAGCAACAATTAAAATTATAATTTCATTTTTTGTAAAATTATTCCGTAATGAATTCAAGAAATTACCTTAATTTCGCAGCATAGTCGCATTCAATCGAAGCTCGGTCCCTTACAAACTGTCCATACTTCTCGAGAAAATCTATTCCTTTCAAGGTATGAAGTGATAAATTGTCATACTGGTCCTGAAACAAAATGCCAACGGTTAATATTCTCAAAGATTTTGCCATTGAGCTTTATTGGCCAATAGCCAATATTTTATAATATTCAAGACTCGACTCAAGATTATTATTTAAATGACTAGGAAGGTGCGGCAAGTTTCATAAACATTTTTTTGTTGCGAAAACTAAATAGAATTGATAACACTATCACAAACCAAGATATGAATATTCTCGAAGTGCATTGGGTAGTATCGACTAGAGTTTTCATTAGTCGAAATGTTAGTTACTACGGTCTATATCTATATACTCGTATTATCAGTGCTCTCAACAGTAACCGCCGAGGTAACCTCAAAATTTAGCGGCGATACAACATGTATATATCCATGTGAAAAAGTAGAAAAAAACAGATCAGAAATAAAAGTCTACGAAATAGAAAATGAGAAATTGCTATGTGAACATCTGTTGAATACAGATTTTACGAATTACACCATTCAAATTATGAGTCAAAATCCCCTTATTCGGTTTTTTGTCGCTGACAATGGTTCGCATACAGTTGCTTTCTCACTCATTAGACAGAGGAAAAAGCTGGATAAGCAAATGTGGATAACAGACGAAAAAAATATTGTGGTGGCTATTGGTAAAGACAATTTTGTAAACGGTAAAAACCAACACAGTGATACAAATTGCAACTTGTCGAATGAAATTTTTTTCAGAAGAAAAAAAATGTTGCAGTTTTCGATGATAACCAGGTGTAAATTGATAGAACAGGAACAAAACACAAAAAAACTTCAGAAAGAGATCCAGAAATTGATGAACCGTTTTGAAGAAGTTCAGAGGGAAGAATTAGAACCACCAGTGTCATCTACCGAAACATCTACAATCAACCATGTAACAACAATAGAAAATGACGTATGCATTCCATATGCTGTACTTCCGAATCAATATATGTTCTGCTTGACAGTGTCGATATCATATTTAGTATTTTCTACTCTGAACACAATTATGAACTACTTTTCCCTAAGACATTTATTAGGTATTCACACCGACAAAAGAATTGTTTTCTACGCAATGAGTCAGTCGCTAACCATTCATTGTATCTGTGACAAACAAAAAGCCCTTCAAAATAATTTTGACAGATGGTTTATTGGTTTAAATTGATGATTGTGATCTATTTACAATGTCTTCATGAACTGCGAGACTATATTAAGAATATTGAGAAACATTTTTTGTGATAGAAATTTGAAAATATTCATCATTCATGATAATACTGACAACATACAGCAGTGTAAGTCAATTTTCATTAATTTATTAAATTTTGCGTAAACTTGGTTTGTTTGCTGGTTATTACTACATACCCCATTCCTGTACTGAGTCTATAAGATAAGGTGATTTGAAAAATTTAACATAAAAACGATGGAACAGTTGAAGGCTAGGAAGGGTTTATAAAGTTTTACAGCTATTAAATGCACTTTTTGGGATCATGTCTTGCTGCTAACTGAGTATCGTTTATCGTATTCCTACAGCATTTTCATAAAAGCTTTTTGGGGGTAGACAAGGCGTTTTTTTTTACCATGCAGCACCGTACATCATTCATAAACCATAATTTTTTCAGTGTATCTCTTCACAGAAAAAAAAAACAAAATTTCAGTTTTATTTTAATAACCCCTCAAAAACAACTATAACACTGTCCTAGAAGGAATTACATTATTTTACTCAGTGTTAATGAGCTGTTTAGGACATTTTTGCGCAGCATAACAACTTCAGACTTGAAACGCAAATTTTAATGTATTCCAAAGTGCACACAAGTATTCACTCTTGGCAGCACGCCGATGCTACTGACTTTAGGAGAGACTTCTGACGTCACTAAACTTGGTCACAAGTTTTTAGTGTCTGCGGATATCTGTTCGACTTTCTCTCATTTTATAAAATTGTCGTCATAGGCAAATATTTCACATACTCGATAATCATGATGTGTGAAGAGTTATTTTTTGGCCCATGAAATAAATCCTACATTGGCTATTTTTTCGGTGTACGAAAATTTGGGTGCATTTAACGTAGGATAAATTGACATGGAAAATGACCTACAGCTTAACATGAAAATCAACATAGTTATTCGAGCTGTATGAAATATATATGCTGGAAAGATGAGAAAATGATAAGAATTGTCGAGTATATAGTATATCGAACTATATTCTCGAGTATATAAGTAGTAAATACTTTATTCAAATTCGAATATATGCAGTGAGAGATGAAGAGTAGATTGAATTTATGATAAAGTTGAATATTTTTGGATACTTACTACTGATACCGAGAAATCTATCTATTTTGATTTCATATATTCGGGAACAATTGAAAATTTCGAATTATTTTTTTGCTATATTTGTAGAGATATTGAAAACTTCACTTACATTTTGTCATTGTACACTCGGAATATTAGGGGTTTCACCCCAGGATGAAAGATAGTCAGCAATAAACTCGTATAAATCTTTTTATTTTGACACCCGAAAATTTGTCTCGAAACCCAGGGTGTAGGTATGCGACTACAGATATTTCAAGGTTCAAGGTCAAAGGTCAAAAAATCGTTTTTTACACATTCATTGCAAATATCTCGTTTTCTATGGGTTGTATGCTATTTGTATGTATAATAAATATTATTGAGGATTAAATTCTCTACTACTTTTGTTGAAACTTTTTTTTTCATATTTTGAACCATTTTCGAGATAGAGGACAGAACGCGCGCAGTGTTAAACTATTTAGTCCCTGTAATCTCGATTAAACCTTGGAACCTTTCTAGTAATGAATATTACTAGAGTTTCACCCCAACACCAAACCGTTATCTTTAACACCTCTACACGTATTTCGATCACCAAGCGATCATCTTCAAAAGAAAAATCAAACTGTTTTAAACTGAGTTCAATCTTCCATTTGAAAATGAACAGTTGGTGATCGAAACATGTGTCGAGGTGTTAAAAATAACGGTTTGGTATGGACAAAAAACTCCAGTAATATTCACGTCGTATAAAGTGGCGCATTTGCTTTTCCAGCTGCAGCTGCACCACATCATCTGAAGATATTGATCTGCCAATGTCCTCTCTTTCATAAAACAAAATGTAGGGTGTCTCCAGAGGTTCCAATGAATTCAAAACATCGCCAGAACACTTCGTGATACGACTATTTCGTCAAATATAAACCAGTCTGTTTCGTCTTTGATCAATGCGTAATATGACCTGATTCAACGCCAGAATCACAGTGAACAATGACTGCATTGTAATTTTTTTTTTCGGTAATTCAGTATATATTACTCACTCGTGTAATTATAAAGTTATTGAGGAAAATACTTGAATTATTTTTCAATTCTAATCTTATTTATACTAATTGCTTCCCAACTAAATAAAAGAAAAAAATTAAATTTGTTTTCATTTATGATGCACTGTTTGGAACCTTTGGTGTAGTAATGAATATTACTGGAGTGTTTTCCCAACACCAAATCGTTATTTTCAACACCTCGACACGTGTTTCGATCACCAAGTGATTATCGTCAAAGAAGAAGATTAAACTGGAAACTAACGCGAAGCTAACGCTATTTATGCTATATAGTAGTATATTTCTACTCTCTCATAGGCATCTAGTTGTTTGTTGTTGTTAACTTGTCTAACTAATCTTAATGAATTGAAGTGTATGGAATGGTTTTGTTGCGAAATATGATGGGCGACTGCTGATTTTTCAGGTCTTCCATATTTTAAGAGTGCTATGTGTTCCTTATATCTTACTTTGATAGATCTTTTTGTCTGTCCATAATATTTTGCATCGCAGTCCTTACATTCAAGTTCGTAAATTCCAGACTTTTCCGAATTCTCGACTTTGTCTTTTGGACTTCCCAAAAGGCTCTGTAGTGTATGACTTGTTTTAAAAAGCACCTTGAAAATCTTTCCAAAGTTCTTCGTATATTGGTGGTATGGAACTGAGATGTATTTATCTTGGTTTTTGTCCTTTCTGAAAATCGAGTTAGACAAGTTAACAACAACAGGCAACTAGATGCCTATGAGAGTGTAGAAATAAATAAACACAATAATATTATGAATAACGATGACGGACCTATACCAAAGAGCATACTATATAGCTTGTTAAAATAATATTGTTGGGTTTACTGATTACCACATAAGGACACATCGCAAAAATAAATTTAGATAGGCAATATTGTGAAATTAATTTTCATATAGCTGAAAATTGTTTTATATACAGCTATAACAGTTGAACATATGTTGTAAAATAATAGATAAGGCAAAATTGTTGAATTAATTTAGGTTGGTATACCTGTATGGGTGATACACCTGGATGGTTTTCCTGTATGGGATATCTATATAGCATAAATAGCGATAGCTTCGCGTTAGTTTCCAGTTTAATCTTCCTCTTTGAAGATGATCACTTGGTGATCGAAACACGTGTCGAGGTGTTAAAAATAACGATTTGGTGTTGGAAAAAAACTCCAGTAATATTAATGTTTTCATTGAAAAATACCACTACATACGTTGAACGCTGAAATTAAAAAAATAAATAAATAGAACTACAAGTTCTGATTTCAATTTTTTTCTTCTTCATCATCGTATTCCAGTCTCTGTAAAATTTTTAATCCCTCTGTGTTCTCGTCTTCAACGACATTTTTCTCCAGTTCTTCCAGGATTTCGGGGTTGAAAGTACCTTCTTCATTTATAACACTCTGAGGTGAAGCATTTAGACAAGCTTGCCCACTGGCCGCATGCTGAAGAACACTACAACCCTGCTTTCCTGCATCCACATTCTGGCAGTGGCTGAATATTCAATATTCCTCCGGAGCTGGTGGATTCATTGTCATAACAGGTTCCAGGAATTCATCACGCATTTTCCAACCACAATTCTGGGGTACTAAATCATGCCCTAACCAAGTCTGAACTTGATAATAAAAACGCTTGAAATGTTGGTGAGCTGCTGCACTGGAAGATTTGATAACTACGCAGGTTTATTCAAATTTTGGAGCATTATAGGTT